ATGAAGAAGTTTCAGCAACTGTGAAACTAAAAATATTGATAAACCATATTAGTTTCAGTGTTTATAAGCTAATTAAAGAGTGTAAGACATTAGAGGAAGCTCTAAAACGTTTGGATATATATTAAACCCAAATATCAAATATATGCACGCACGCACGCACGCACGCACGCACGCACGCACGCACGCACGCACTGAGTACGATCGAAAAATCTACCATACTCAACTGAAGAGATTAGAAAAATAATACTGTCCTGTCCCGTTTGCTCTGAAGTTAAACCACGCTTCTACAAAATTAAAAACAATTTAATCAAGGCTACGAAGCCTTTTGAACGACTTTCATTAGATTTTAATGGACCTCTACTTTCCACAACTCATAATAAGTACCTATCTTCTTACTATAATTAATGAAAATTCACGATTTCCATTTGCCTTTCCATGCAAGGATGTGTCTGCAGCGACTATTATAAAACATTAATCAAGTCGTTTTTCTCTCTTTGGGCTACCAAGCTATGTACATTCAGACAGAGGATCAGCTGTTATGTCGCAAGAATTAAGGGAATTTCTTCAATCTAAAGGAGTGGCGACTAGCCGGACGACTGCTTACAATCCACAAGGTAACGGCCAAATAGAAAGAGAAAACGGAATAATTTGGAAAACAATTCAGTTAACTACTAGATCAAATGCCTTAAAAATCTCTCAATGGGAATTAGTCCTTCCGGAAGTTTTACACTCCATTAGATCCTTGCTATGTACTGCTACTAACACAACGCCGCATGAAAGAATGTTTCTTCACAGTAGAAGATCAACAAACGGACAATCATTACCTTCGTGGCTATCTACTCCTGGAACTGTCTTCATGAGGAAACACAATCGTTCCAACAAATATGAACCATTAGTGGAAGAAGTGGAACTTCTAGAGGCTAATCCGGATTATTCATATGTCCGCTTAAGAGATGGACAAGAAACGACTGTATCAAATCGACATTTGGCCCCTAAAGGAGACGAACGACATATTGTACATGACGAACCTAAAGACGTAGAAACACCACCACCACCTGCACCACCCCAATGCTCTTTTGAAATTGATAAAATTTCAGAAAACTATTCCATGCCTGAGTCTCGTACCGCTTATTCTGAGGAATCGTTACCAGCGTCTTTGATAGGTGTAGACGAAGAAAATACCAATGATATAAATTCATGTGACACAAACCAACTGAGACGATCGAAATAAACTAAAGAAACTCCAAAGTATTTAAACGATTACTATCGTTTTTGAAGGTGGGAAGAATGTGGTATAAATTATAGGCATGCTGTTAATATTATATCACTCTGTATTGTTTCAATTTTTTTTTTTTTCAAAATCCGGATCAGCTGTACTTACTTTTTTAACGCCTATCCCCACTAGGACCTGGTCTGTCTATAGTCTCTACAAATGTTCAAATCATTAGAATAAAAGTAACATTTATACAGGGTGTCCCGAAATTAGACGGTCATATTTTAACAGCATAATCTACATCCAGAAATAGGAGTAAAAGTTTATATAAACATAGGTACGAAAACGTTTCTTTTCCGAGATACAGGGTGTTAAAAGTGAAGTCCTGATGACACTCTTTTGTAAATATTTTCTTAACGTTTAAAGATAACTAAGTGAAATTTGGCACAAATGGCTTACCATTTTACGCTCTATTTAATGGACTAACCCCCAGTTTTTGATTATCTTCATAGGTGGGTAAAGTAAGGGGGGCTTAGGTAAAGTTTTTTTTGTTGACCGTTTTTAACATTTTTACTATAAAAAACCAATGTTTTCCTTATAATAAAGTTACTTCTGTTGCATCTCGCTAGGACGCACCATTTTCAAGAAAAAAAGCATTTGTAAATTTCATGATAAGTTATTCGAAAGTGTAAACAATAATTATAGTAGGCCTGTGAAATCAGAAATTTTTATTTTTTTTTACTTTGGAAAACCGGTGACTAAAGAAATTTTAGAAAATATTAAAAAAATGTTCCATCAGGACTTCACTTGTAACACCCTGTATCTCGAAAACGAAACGTTTTCGGACCTATGTTTATATGAACTTTTATTCCTATTTTAGGATGTAGATTATGCTGTTAAAATATGACCGTCTAATTTCGGGACACCCTGTATATTATAAATACAAAATATAAAATACCTTAATACTTGTCAGTACCCAATCAGAAACACATGGTATCCTAGACCTATGATCAAACAACCTTAATTCGAAACAACTGGTCTGGTAGACCTGTACGTTTGCATAAAATCTGTCACTACGAGACACACACTTCAGAACTCAAAGCTTTACCGTCACGAATGTAACTATGATTGGGTACTCAGAAGGTTTTTTTTGAAATATAAAATACCTTCTACACGACTTTGTTAGATGCTATAAAGAAGATAGATACCGAGTAAAAATGTCTGGATACTTTCATTTCTAAAGCAATTGTCTGGTGTACAAATAAGTTCAGAACAGCTGAGGGTACTGCAGTCGGTGTATGTTGTTTGTGTCCAAGAGTGAAACTATATTTCTCTTTGGAATTATATGTGCAATTAAAAGCTCCCCAGACTAATGCGGAAATTCTTCGACGATCTTCTGACCCCTCGTGCTATTACCCTAATTCGCCTGTAGCGTGGCAGCACTGCAGCCTGCGGCTTATTGTACCACCATTTGAAGATCCTACTACTTTCCCATTCACCAAATTCACTCCCTCTTTCACTGCCATTCATTCCACGTCGTCCTTGGTTAAACATGTTAGTCATATAAGTCCCGCATGATGATACTTCTCATGGTGTAACGTCCTAGCCGTCACTCATCCACGACGTGACCGGAGATATTACAGCTTAACTGTTGAAAGAATGTGGATGCACACTAATTTCGCGGCTAGTCTCTCTGGCGTACTGTTACTATAATAAATAAATTTGTAAGTTTTAACTAATTAAAGTGGGCCGTAAATTCTTTTTATACAGGGTGGCCATTTCAAAACGAAACAGAGCCAATTTTGGGCACTCCAAGTCATTTACGAAAAAACGCTCGGACCCGTCAACTTTTGATTTTTGGGGATAATATTTTTTTACCAGTTTCACCACCTGAACGGAAACCCTCTAGTAGGGATGAAACTCACCCCTAAAATCTTAAATAGAAAGAGGGGTCGAATGATATCTTATTTTATAGGTATTTTGAGCTAGATTATAACCTCGAGTTTTACATCGCTACTATTTACGTAGCTCATACAGTGGCTCACCAAAAGTACAAGACCGGTTTAACATAATTTTTATATTGTTATTAAAAAAAAAATGAATTTTTTGTAACAATTCTAGTTTTATTCATGTGGCCTTCAATTATTGTTATCAGATGACATTCTTTGGTCGCCGCAAAGTAGTAAGGTTTAGTTTATTTCGTTGTAGAGTCTGCATAAAAGTGACATATCACTGATAATGGTCTACTCGATTGCTGTGCTAATAGAACTGCCCAACTGTTTAATAATCAATATCAACATCGACAAGCCCATCGAAAGTATATTTTAGAGTTAGTCCAAAAATTTTGGGAAATGGGGTCAGTAGCTAACAAAAAACGTGAAATGGAAAATGCTGTAGTAAATCAAGCTACAGAGATGGCGATTTTAGGACATGTTGTTTAAGAACCCACACTAAGTACAAGACAGTTGGCGATAACATCTGGTATTAAGAGAAGTAGCATTCAGAAGATAATGAAAAAATACAAGTTTCATCCCTACAAAATAGATCTGGTACAAGAACTTAACGAAGACGATTTTGATAGGCGATTACAATTTTGTGAAATTATGCCTGAACGAGCAATAAATGATCAGCACTTTCTTTTCAACGTGTGTTTTTCTGACGAATGCACTTTTTTCCTAAATGGTACGGTAAATCGTCACAACACTGTCGTTATTGGTCCGATTCAAATCCCAGAATATTTCATGACGTGCATACGCAACATCCAGAAAAACTGAATGTTTGGGCTAGCATTTTTGGTAACTATAACTGGCCCCTTTTTTACCTGGAACTATAACCGCAGAAATGTATCTGGAATTATTAGAAAACGCCATTTATTCAGCATTACTAGAGTTGATTGAGAATAACGATCAGTACATAGCAAACAACTTAATATTCCAGCCAGACGGTCCGCCACCCTATTTTGCACTGACTGTTCGTCAGTTTTTGAATCAAACGTTTCCAGGTCAATGGATCAGAAGAAGAGAAAGTATTAAGTGGCCTCCACGGTCTCCGGATCTAACTCCGTTAGAATTTTTATGGGGCCGCTTAAAAACTAAAATTTATGCCATCCACCCAACATCACTGGAAAATCTGCGACAACAGATAATTGATGAATGTCATCAATAACCCCACAGATGCTTCAAAATGTCCGAGAGCGTTTTGAACAAAACCTTTATTATTGCATGGAGGCTCAGGGTCAGCATTTCCGGCATTTACTCGAGTGACTGGTACCTAGGTATTAAAAAAAATCGTTAAAAGATCATGGCTGGGATGACAGTAGCGATTTAAAACTTGGGGGTTATAATGTAGATAAAAATACCTTAAAAATAAGATATCATTCGACCCCTTTCTTTCCATTTAAGATTTTAGGGGTGAGTCTCACCCCCGCTAGAGGGTTTCCGTTCAGGGGGTGAAACTGGCAAAAAAAAATGTTTATCCCTGAAATCAAAAATTGACGGGTCCGTGCGTTTTTTGGTAAATGACCTGGGGTTCCCAAAAAATTGTTTCGTTTTCAAATTTTTTTTTATGCACAATTTATCAACTTTATGAAGGTAAATTATTCTAATCGTTGGATTTTTTGTAACGTCACTGTTAAATATTGGAGTTACCGTTGAGATAATACCTATAATGGCAGTGTGTTTATGTAATCAATTAGTGAAAGTTTAAATTATGTGAATATTACTCTGATATTACGTAAATGAACTAAAGGTATGTACGTACGCTACTGGATTATGAAATGATTATAAAACTTAATCGTCTCTATTTGCGTTCTATTCTATTCTATCTATAATAAAAATATTCTCTTTGTAGGAGACTGCACAGATCTATGTGACAATTTAAAACGTATCATGAAACTTGTTTGGTTTCATTTAAAATATATTACGTTTTTGATTTTAGTTTTAATCTCGTTATACTGCAATTCATTGTCATTTTTGACACAAATACATATAGTAAGTTTTGTTATGGCATCATGTTTAAAATATTTTAATAAAACATTTTTTTTTCTAGGCTTTCAGACATGGTGAACGATCTCCTACGAATACGTTTCCAAACGACCCATACATAAATTACAGTTGGCCTGGAGGGTGGGGTCAGCTAACAAACGTAAGTGCATTGGCGTACGATGTAGATACCTACCTAATTTTATAAAAAAAGGGCGAATGTTTATACAAATATTGGATAGAAACTTCTTTAAGGTTTTAAACGGTATTTGTTCAGAAAAATATTTTTATAGTACTTACATCTGAAAACGTTTTATATCCAACTATTAATTGTAATCTATAACATAATAATTTCTTCAAAATTATAACTTTTACTATATGTTTTGCTTAAAAATAACATTTAGTTATAATCAGGAGCAGAATCAGAAATATATCGCTTGTAGGGGTACATCTAAATACAAATTTCAAAAACACTTATTGCATAATATTTGAAATTTGATAATGTTTCATCCAACAAGGCTGGCATAAAATTAGTTGAAATAGCCTCCCCGAGTCGGCGCATGTGTCACTAAGACATAAGACGTATTCCGCCCACCCAGACAGCACCCATAGTCCATTGGACGTCCACTTTAGATCCATTTGAGGGCCAGGATGTCCATATCCGTATTCGGACATCCAATGTACGTCCATTTATGATGATCACTAATTTAACAGCTGCATATCGATGCCCAGATAGGGTATCCAATTTTTTTAACAAAAAAAAAACGTATAAAATTGTTTGAATAGGAAAAATAAAGTATAAAAATAATTGAAAGGAAGAAAAAAGTATTTTTCAAATATACGTTTTTTTGCCTTAAAAACATATTTTTGTGTGCTTTTAGCATGTGATAACAACTTTTTTGCTATCTTTGAAAGTTTCAAAACTTGTTTTACAATTGAAACTTTAATTTAAAATCATCAACGCTCTGTTTCTCTTTTTTTGTCACTTCAAGTTCATTACCGAGAAAACTATCTCAATGAAAGCTGAAGTGGTGAGAACAGAGAGTAAATAATAATATTTAGTTTAAAATTGAATATTCAATTATTATAATTAAACAAAAACAAGGGACAATAGACCTTTTCATCACAATTTTTTTTTTGTGCGCATGCGTCAGTTTCTGCCATCTTTTTCGTACTGTTTTTGTAAACAAGTATGTTAAAATGCTTACGTGAAAAAAATTATAATTGATAAATATTAATTTAAGTCTATATTCATTTAAAAAAAGGAAGAAAAAAGTAAAGTAATAATAAGTTTAGTGTCTTAATTGAAAAATACATTTTCACAATCAATTATAATTATGTTATCTGTACGGAAAGGAACAACGAAACAGTGTTGTTATGTAAAAGTGACACACGGTATAAATCATTCAAAGGCAATAGATATTATTTTATAAATTTTCCAAAGCCTTAACTGCAATATCGTAAACAATTATCAGGCAAAATCCATATTAAAAGATATTCGAAATGTGCATTAAGTGTGAAAAAATATGGTCGAAGTGACAACGGTTTTCGATGGATTAATGATGTTACTAAAGATACTTATATTTCACTGCATTTTCATGGAGAAAGTGGTCCAACAGAAGAAAATTCTCATGTGGTATTAAACAATATTTTTTTAATATTAAATACTACTTCGGTATACACATTAAATGATTAAAAATGTCATGTTGATCCTCAAAATAATAAATAATTTATTTTATTAATTATACTCGTGATTAACTTTCATGCTAATTAAAGTGTTTTTGCAAGTAGTAATAGTTGGTTGGCATAATTAATTAGAATAAAGTTATAATTATTATTTGTTTTCATTAATTTTTTACAGAGTTAAAAAGTATTGATACACCTAACCTCTCAATTAGTCCACTTTGTTCCTTTGTAACCTTAGATAAAAGAGACCAGAGATATAACATACACTGGTGTTTAACCTGCGCAAATGTTGCCAGTTTCTAAAGAAAGGTTAACGGAGTGGGGGAACTGGGCAGGGACTCGAACTCTGTGACAGGGACCGGACTTTGTTTTTTAGCATCATAATGAACTATTACATTTATTTAAAATATACGTTTAATGGAATTTTGTATTATGAAATAAATTTAACGTGATTTTTTAATATCAAACAGATGCCACGACATTTTATGTAAAAAGAAGACCTTTTATAGAATATTTCGTTAGCTATTATTTACTATGGACTTTTCTGTAAGAGACTACAGTAAAATGTTGAAATCGAGTAAGAAATGGTACTCATTGTCTAAGAGTATTATAAAAAAGCATGTGCGCAGGCGAATACTGCAAATCAAACCTTGTGAGTTGAATATTATATTTTTACTACGACTATCACATAATATTAAAATTAAGTCAAATTGAGAAATTGCTGTTTTGTATTATAACCTCAGAAAAAGATATATTAAAGCTTGTTTCTTTAGGAATATTAATTAATATAGAGGATGCGTCACATAAAACTCTAGAAATGTATATGTCTGAAACCAGATAACATTTTAAAATTTAAACCTATTAAAAGTCATTTGGTCGCTAGGAGTAGGTGATTATCGAAATAAATTATTGATCATTAATAATAATCGATTATTTTCAATCAATCGATTATTTTCAAACAATCTATTTTTGTTCGTATTTCCTTTAAAATAGACCACTTGATTATCTTTAAAAAATAAAAAAAAAATAGATTAATTAAAAAGCCAATTAACCGATAAATTATTTTAAATAATCGATTATTTTTAATTTCTATTTTTTTTTCGTATTTCCATTAAAACAGATTATTCGATAATCTTTGAAAAATCAAAAATAATCGATTAATCAAAAATAATCGATTAATTAAAAAGTCGAATAATCGATAAATCGATTTTTCAAAAAAAAAAAAAAAAAGAATTATTTCCTTTAAAATCAATTATTCGATCATTTTTGAAACATCGAAAATAATCGATTAACGGAAAATAACCAATTAATTAAGAAGATTCTACGATAAATCGATTTTCCAAAAAAAAAAACTGAATAATTATTGATTATTTACAAATAATCCTTTTCTTTTTTTATATTCCTTTTAAAACTGATTATTTAATTTTCTTTGAAAAATCGAAAATAATTGATTAATAAAAAGCTGATTTACCGATAAATCAATAATTCTAAAAAATAACCGAAATATCGATTATATAATATAACCGATTATATTCAATCAATCGATTATTTTTATATAATCTATTTTTTGTATTTAAAAACAAATTATTCGAATTCCTTTGAAAAATCGAAAATAATCGATTAATCTAAAATAATCGATTAATCGAAAATAATCGATTAATTTAAAAAGTCTATTAAACAATAAATCGATTTTTCTAAAATACGATTATTTTCAATAAATCGAATATTTTAAATAAATCTACTCTCTTTTTGTAATTCCTTTATAATCGATTATTCCATTACCTAAAAAAACGAAAAAAATTTATTAAAAATGTTCGATTAATCAAAAATAATCTGTTAAAGATAATCGATTAATTATAACGGATAAATGGATTTTCATGAAAACGATAAATCGATTATTTTTGTAACCCCTATCGGTCGCATGCTTTTATCAGAGCATTTAGCTCCAAAACTTAGAGATTCGGATTTATTGATCCTGTTATTTTTGAAACCGCATTCGATTGTATAATAAATATTGCTAGAATTTAGATTTTTTTAGTAAACGAAGATATTTTTCGGGTTGTTTAGGGGTTTATAATGTAACATTTTACTAATGATATGACTAATTTCCGTAACTTTAGTATTTTTTGCTTATACTAGATCATATTGCGCGTTTTACTTTGTTTTAAGATTTAAGATTCAAATGTCACTTCCGATTTAACCGCAAATAAAATAAACCTTGAAATTTTAAGTAGGTGAACATGTATTTCAACTAATATTCTTGTAAAAATATCTAATAAAGGGCTAAAAACCACTTTTAGTAAATATTCTTATAAAACTACTTTTTAAAAACAAAATTTCGTTAGTAACAATGCCTATTTACTTCTTATTTAGATTAAATATTTATTGAAACCCCTTAATGCGGATCTGAAGTATTCAGCTCAAAGAATCATGGCGACTTTATGTCAAAACGTCAACAAATATTTACCGCTGAAAACGAATATATTTCTTATTTTTCATAACATTGACACATATTATTTGTATATACAATTTTTCACCATACATCGTGGCATTTTCAACTTGAAATTGAATAACTAAAACACTTTAAATTGCTAATAACACCAACAAATAATTCAAAAACGGCGGTCCATAAATGGTTTACTCACGCGGAGACAAGCAAAGAATAGAAATTTCGGAGAAATTCGGGTGGCGTCGTGAACACAATGATTTTTAATTGGTGGGTTACTTAGGTTTGGAATAGACAACATGCGCAATGTGCAATGTTACATCTCCGGTCTCTTTTATCTAAGGATATATGTCACCTGTTATAACTGAAATATAACATTTCGTTCAGTAATTATTAATTATTTTCATCATAAGTACATTTTATTTTAACTTATATGTATCCGTAAATAGTTCAGTAGGTATACTTACTAACCCATAATGAGTGTTTCGTTTTAGGTATCACAATAAAGATTGGAAATAAAGTATTTTCGCATACTTTATTTTTATGCAAAAGTATAAAGTATATTTATCAAAAATAAAGTAGCATACGTTATTATAAAGTATTGTTGACAACCCTATGCCCAGAGGACGTCTGTTTTTGACTTAATTTTAAGTTTAGGATTATTTTGACGTCCAGTGGACGTCCAACTTAGGTCATTATTTATTTAGCCTAACAGATAATACCCATCTATATAAACTTTCATATTTTTAATACAATAAGTTATTCAAAATTGACAAATTGAACCTATTAGATTTCATTCTATCAGCGGAAGTTTGAAATCTTATTCTATTATAACTATATCTAGTAAGAATATTTAAGGTGGCTCCTTGGTCGAGGTCGCCTAGCGCTTGCAAGCCTAGAATCACAATGGACGTGTCGTGAGTTTGATACCTGCTCAGGTCAAGTGATTTTTAATAAAAAAAAAAAAAATAATAATAAATGATGTATAGCGAAAATAATAAATACAATAATTAATAATATAAAATAGTGTG